TATAAATATGCATAATAATAATCTATAAGAATGTTTGAGGAAATAAATAAAAAAAATAAAAATTTTTCATAAAAACTACTAAATAAGTTTAGTTCTGTTATCTAATTCATTTATCGTCAGCAGCTGTAAAGTTTCACTCCGATCAGCTCATCCTAAATGATATGTGACAATAATCACATACATATATATGCTATAAGACAATTTTCAGATTTAATCTGGTATATTTGCATATAATTGAATAATATTATCAGATCTTTTTACTAGGAAAGTATATAAGCGAAAATTCTTCAGTTCTTTTTACATTTGTATTGTATGTGATACAGTTACAAGCTATTGTTTCTTACAGAATATTGATGTTTCATAGATTAGAATTTTTAATTGTCCTGAATTCAAGATTCTAGATCCAGCAACACAATACCTTGAAATATTTTAGTGTCAAAAAGTATGCATATTTGTTTCCACATATTACTTTTTAAATTGCCAGTAATTACCTTTCAATAATATTTTACAGAAAATGGAATCTCTTATTACAATAGGCATTGAAAATTTGACTCCAACCATTTTATCTGGAAATTCAACTATGGCATTGGATAATATACTAATAACGACGAACGGACCTCGAGCTTTGCAACAAATCATGGGTTTTAAAAATCAGACTGTAATAGATAAAGTACCTCCGGATATGCTGCACTTAATTGATCCACATTGGTTAATTTCGATTGTTTCACGCTGATATTCTTTTACAATTTAGCAATATACTATTTTGCAAATTCAATTTCACCAAACTCTAAATAACAGGTACCGGTTTCCATCAATGGATCCAATATGGCATAAAATTCTAGGTCTTGTAATGGTCATATTAGTATTTATGGGATGGATCGGTAATGGTGTGGTGATATATATATTCTTAATGACACCATTCCTGAGAACACCGAGCAATCTTCTCGTGATAAATTTGGCTTTTTCGGACTTTATCGTGATGATTATCATGTCACCTCCTATGGTAATCAACTGTTATTATGAGACTTGGGTATTAGGTAATGCAAAATGTTCTGTTTTTATTAATATTAATATTTTATAATAGTTTTTGTATAATTTATAATTATTAGTAATTAACAAATTAATTTTATATTAAGGCCCTTTAATGTGTGATATATATGCCATGGTTGGCTCTTTGTGTGGATGTGCTTCAATATGGACTATGACTGCTATTGCTTTAGATCGATATAATGTTATAGTAAAAGTACGTATAATATATTTCTAATATTAATAATATTTCTATTAAATAATAAATGAGAAATTAATGTGAATAAATCTTAGGATATGGCGGGAAAACCACTAACTATCAAAAAAGCATTACTTGAAATTTTATTGATTTGGATTTTCGCTTTGGTATGGACAATTTTATCTATGGTGGGATGGAACAGGTAAAGTTAAAAAAGTTAAAAATTATACAAGAAAGATATATGCATAGTGTGTTGTAATAATTTTATAATATAATATAATATAAATTTATAATATAATATAAAAATTAGTTATGTGCCAGAAGGCAATATGACTGCTTGTGGGACAGATTATCTTATCAAAGATTGGAGTTCTAAATTTTATATCTTGATGTATTCGATATTTGTATATTATACGCCGCTCTTCACTATAATTTACAGCTATTACTTTATCGTTTCGGTAAGCACATTTATAATATTTATAATATGGAAAATGATTTACAGTCTGCACAATTTTGAAACTTTTGAATTAATAGGCAGTAAGTGCTCATGAAAAAACAATGAGAGAACAAGCCAAGAAGATGAATGTCCAACCTTTGCGATCTGGAGATAATCAAAACATGAGCGCAGAAGCAAAATTGGCAAAGGTGAGGTGAAAAAAAAGGATTATATTAAAAAAATTATAAATATATTACGCGTACTTTAAATATTATGAAAGAAAATAATCCAAAAAAATAGGAATTGATATTTGTTTTATTAATTACAGGTAGCTTTAATGACTATTTCCTTATGGTTCATGGCATGGACGCCATATCTGGTTATCAATTACATAGGTATTTTTGGGGGTGCTAGCATTAGTCCTCTTTCCACCATCTGGGGATCTCTCTTTGCAAAGGCAAACGCTATATATAATCCAATTGTTTATGGAATTAGATAAATGGTATTTTTGAATGGAATATATATATATAATTAGCACATTAATTCGTTTTTATATTTTATTCTGTACAGTCATCCAAAGTATAGAGCAGCACTAAAGCTACCATTCCTTGTATATGGCTCGACTGAGGATCTATCTGCGGCTACGAAAATTACAGAGACAGAATCGACGGTGACCACAGCGTAATTTCGAGCAATGTATTCTAATTTCTAAATGATGCAATTAGAATATATTTCTCAAGAATATCGACGAATCTCAGTGCTAATAGATATGTGATAAATATGTGAAATATGTGCAAATTTGTAAAACTTCAATATTTGGCGGATAGCTAATAATATACAAAGAGCTGTGTATATGAAATGTTGAGGACTAACTCTACAATATGTTGTACAAAATGAACTTTTATTTGGTTTTAAGTGTTCTCTTTTGTTCTCTACTTGTATCGCAGGTGTTAAATATTACTGCTTTTATAAGGATGAAAGATAGAAGAATACTTAGCCAATTGTAGTAAGCAACAGGATATTATTCAATAAATCATTTGTAATAATTTAAGAAGGCGATTTCTATTGATCTTAAGATATAATTAAAAAATATTGTAGTATTAGAGAGATATATATATGTTTAAAATTTTTATGGTGTAATTAGAACTCATACAGATTGCATGCAGAATTTATTTGTTAGTTCTAAAAAATTAATTATAGACACGATATCACACACATCGCGAATATTTTTTATGGTGATATACTTTTAACGATATTATATGACCAATGTTTGCTAATTCCAAAATGACCATGTATTCCGTTGTCTTGAAGAGATGGTAAATTTACAAACACGCTATGAGACATTTGTAAGAAATTCTCGTGGTGCGATCGAACTATACAATGTATCATAGATAACATAACTAACAGTTATAAAAAAACTGTCAAGTTAAATTTCCTTAAGTTTTCAGTTGTTAAAGTTTTTCGCATATTGAGCTTCGCATCTTGGTCTTGTTTAGATTTTTATTTTGACCACATACGATATTTCTCTTGCGATATAAAATCATGATTAAGTTATATATATATATATATATATATATATATATATATATATATACACACACAC